TTTGGCTTTACTTTCGCATGCTACTATTTGTTTTTCAGTATTTAATAAAATGAACTTTGGATTTGTTAGTCTTACTTTTACGTGAGGCATTTCTCAGCGTGAAAGGGTTAAATTTTTCGTGAAGTTGTTTTGCTGAGCTATCTTGAGGTCAAATTATTTGAGGCCGGAACTGCAATATTACTGGGGTAGACATTTCATGCAGCTCTTGAGAACTGCTATTTATTTATTATTATTATTATTATTATTATCATTATCATTATTATTATTATTATTATTATTATTATCATTATTATTATTTACATTATTATTATGACAGTCAGAAAACAGAAATGAAAAGTTCTGGAGAAAAATGAGAAACGTAGTCATCATAAGTAAAGTACGTCTTGTTGCACGTTGAACATGAACGTGCAACAATTGTTTGTAACAGAAAATAAAAAAATTAAAATAAACAGAAGAAGACGACGAAGGCACAGTATCTGAGCAAATATGTTTCACAGACGATTCTATTTTATTGTTTTAGACAGGATCACGATAGGTTATCCTGCAAAAGCAATCGCAAAAAGAACAAACAAACAAACATCACAAACTTCTTTAAAGCTTAGCGCGGCTCGTTTACCAAAAGGAAGTAATAACTCGGCGTTCGGTTTTATGATCTTTCTACCTCTACTTCTACTGATACATGATGAACTGATGTACTCTTTAACACTTTCGCATCGAAAAGAGATTAATAAAAAATTACGGAAGTGGATCAACTTAGTCTTGATTTCGTCCCGTTTGTCCACATACATGTATTTAATAACTGAATTTATTGAATGCCATTTTAGAAATATTCTTGGCTTGCCATTGTCAGCTTTTCTTGGTCAATCGAAAGCACCCTTTCACTATTGAGTGACCAAGAAAAGTTTGAACAAGTGGTTAGCCTGTTATGGCGTCATCGTTCGTGATGAAAACAGCACAGACAAACCCAAGCAAGCAATAAAAATTCGCACGTTACAGCTGAAATAATCAGAATGGTTCAAATACTCGCCTTGCCTTAAAATAACACGCTAAGCGAGCAAAAAGAAGTGGCGCCGATGTCATACTTTTACGACATGTTACTCTTTAGGACAAACTTTTATGAAGATGTAGCTTTAATGTTCATCTTTTTATCCCTGCTACCAGCCCGCTCAAGCGAGACAAAACAACACAAAAAACAGCTGTGCAGTGTACAGCACTGTTATTCAATAAATTGAGATAACTTTGAATTATGCTTTCCTTTCCTAACTTTACCCCGTGGAGTTCGCTGAAATCACTTATACCTTTTTAAGGAGAATTTACTGATTTTGTCTACTTAGATCTAAGGAAACCATCAATATTTCAGTAGAAACCGGAACTGTGCGTTATAAGCTGTAAGCAAACGGCCTAGTTCACAAATCTTAAATAAGTTAAGTCTTTTTTTTTTTGTTTATTGAATATTACAGATACAGCCCGATAGAGAATGAACAAACACAGTTATTCCGTTAAGTTGAGCAACATGCGGACTGTACGACTACCACGTGAAAAGGAGGTGGCATCTCACTGATGACACACACATCGATTTACCGTGGTTTTTGTTTCTGGTCGGCAGGATTTGCCCTCTGATGCAAGAGCAGTTTCTTTGACCTCTTTTCAACCGTCAAGCTTTTTATTACGGTTGAATAAGGGTTCTAATTTTCTCCAAAGTGCCTTTTGGAGCTGAATAACTAAGCGATTTTCTTTAGTCCGTGAATGTAATGTTTTTCTGCAATGTTGTATCACGCCGGTCCCAGTTTGTTAGTTTTCTTATAAGCTTTCCAGGATGTTAAATTGTTACGGATAGTGACTTACAGGTATAAAATTATAAGAATGAAGTGCAGCTTAAACTGAAGCTGTATCAACTATGGAGAATTGCTTTGTGACTAGTAGACTCCGGCTTAGTGTTTTTCTAAAGATAATATGCATGAGTCTTTGACTGGAGCGCGTATTTCCTTCCTTGGTAATCGCTTTTGAATAAGCTTAACATTGTTTGGATTGTTGGTTATTGCCACTTTGTGATCAGGCAAGACCATGGTTTCGGTTCGCCACTCGAACCTCATTAGTTGCCGGGTTGGCTTTGTACTTAGTGGCCAAGTTGTACAAGAGTAACTTTAGTTGTTCTTTATCGTGGCGAGAACGGTACAGCCGTGAAATAGCATCGACTTGCCAGATCCAGTTGGGAAGACTCCAAAAACATTCTAGCCTTTCAGGATAGATTCGAAACACTTTACTTGAAGAGGTTTAAAATTAATTTATGGAAAGTTACCGTTTCAGGGAAAATCCGACCTGGCGAAGCACTGATAAAAACTCTGGTCTAACGCCACCCCCAAAGCCAGGGAAAAAGCACCCTGGGGACGAGGTTGGGGTTGTTCAAAGAGGGTTGAGATAACTCAGGGTTGGTGCGAAGTATAAATTCAGATATGAAAACTTAAAAAGCAAATTCAGTATATTTCTTTTTGCCTGCAAT